GTGCGCGCCTAGTAAGTTCAGGGGCCCTTTTCTGACTTCCTCCGTCAGTTCCAGAGGGGCTTCGGCGTCGGGGTGCTCATGACTCCCTGAAGGAGGGGGAAGCAGAGAAACGAAACAACGGCCAGACATTTCGGTGGTTTCCTCGGACCTCCTTCCTTCCATGCTTTTTCAGGTGGGCGGCAAGACTCCCTCCCCCTCAGCTGGCCTGGCCGAGCGAAGTGCTTGTTGTCCGGGCAGGAAGACCTGCTGAGTTCACTCGAGAAGAGGCGGCCTCAGGATTGATTTGCCGCCAGGGTGTGGTTTCCTGAAACCCAGTTTTGAAGCACAAGCCTGGCTAGGTAAGGATTTCCTTTCCCATTAGGCCCTCAGTTCTGTGCGTCTACTGTACATTTGCGAGCAAAATGCCTTCCTGCAGAACAAAATGAACCTTGGATTCCAGTCCGCTTGGAAAGGTCGCCCGGTCTCCTAAGCATGAAGGTGCACTGGAGACTGTCTATAGTTAACCAGTTCTGAAGGGAAGTAATCCTGCACTTAGATATGAACTCTGGTATTCTTATTTGTTGAGTCTCTTCATTAAAAATGTGCCGGAGCTAAACCCTGGCACAAGTTAAGCCTTGTTAGCAAGCTCCATTTAAACCAGCGGGACTTACTCCTGGGTCTGAGCTACCTGACAGCTACAGTCAAATACATGTTTGCTTGAATTGTATAAAGTAGTGACAACTCATGTTCTAAGTAGGGGGCACATATCATCCGGGTTAGGTGGGGTGACCTGCTTGAGGCGGTGACTGCTAATGGCACAGAGTGTTATCGGGCCAGAACCTCAGAAGCTAACAAGTTCATAAGTTATCTGGAAACTGAGTTATGGCAACTGGACTTCTTATTAAGTTGAAATGTTTTGCTACTCCATGTAGCTTCTTCACTTGGATGAGTAGTGAAATGTTTCAGCCTAATAAGAAAGAAGTCAATTTGCCATGACTCACCTTCCAGATAACCTCACCTGGATAACTGAGAATCTTCGCAAACTTCATAAATTGTTCTGGTGTAAAGTTGGTTTATCACCAGGGAACAAATTGAAAATGACAGTGCACTCGCATGTATTATTATGTAGATTTCCTCCTTTGTTTGTAGATTTCATGACTGTATACCTCTTTCAGATATCCAGTGTGGTGTAGTGGATAGAGTGATAGACTAAGAATCTGGAGACCAGGGTTTGAATCCCCACCTGGCCATGGAATATCACTTGGGAATGGAAATGGTAAAACCACTCCTTAAATGTCTCACTTATCTTGAAAGCCCTATTAGGGTTGCTGTAAGTCGGTTCCAACTTGATGGCACACAACAACAGCTCCTTTTTCAAACTAGTTCTAACAATTACCAGAACATCTTAGATGAAATTAAAAATAAGAACTATACATTTACAGTAAAAGTAATTTCAAATGATTGCATAGAAGAGCCTACAGTTAATAGAAGCAGTTTGTTTTAAAATCATCCTTTTATGGCAGAGATGGAATATTTATTCCATGCCTCATATGCCTTTAAAATTGGTTTGCAGATTTACCAGTTTGATAACTGCACTTGTTCAGGCTTTGTGGCACTTAGTGCTAAGGAAACAGATCTTGTCTTTCTCTCAGAATGCTTACCACAGCTTGATTGTGTTTGTATCTAATTGTATCTTCAATCCTTCACGTTTAAATTCCTGTTAAGATTAATTGGTGTTTCTTCTTGCCCGTTTGATTTCATGCTCTCTTCCATTTTGCTTCATTATTATCATATCGCTCAGTAAAGACTTTTCAAAACAGGCCTAGATACTGTGATTTGCTCCTGGGTCTCTTTCTCTCCTGAACATCCAAGCTACTTAAGACTCCTTCTGCCGTTCTGGCATATATTCACAATTTTAAACATTAGTTAATCAAAATAATGCAGCCCATGGTATGTTTTGTTTGCAAATGCAATTGGTAGTTCTCTATTTGAAGTTCATGTTTCTTCCCACGTGTGATTCATCAACAGGTTACATTGGAACTACATGCAATCTTGTTGTGCGTGCCTGCATCAGCTAGCTGTGCCAATTGACCTTGCAGGTGTCTTATCTGCTCTTCTTTCTGTGCTAATATTGTATGTTAATGCTGTTAAAAATGTAATTCTAGTATTATTTAATATATTAGCATTCTTTATAAAGAGCTAATTTATTTGAGCTGAAGGATTCCCTGTGGATCATTCTGCAATTTAAAATGTGTGGTTGAGATGCAGTGGACCGTTGTCCAATGGCTTGCCAGATTAATTAAATTAAAACTGGCATATGAAAAAAAATATGTTTCATTCTAGGATCCAAAACATTATCCTCTTGGGATGTAATCTCTATGTGAGCATGAATTTAGCCTAACATAATTCTTTATTGTTAGTTCCTTTTGCAGTCAGTTAATTTAATAGAAAGCAGATTTCATAAGCGGTTGATCATTAATGTTTATTGTGATTAACATTGAATCATTCTAACCCAATAAAAACTTAACACTGCTTCAAACACATGTAGGATTTTAATGCCTGTTGTATGGTAGGCTTTGGTTAAACCTAGCCCCTGATAAAACATGTTTCAGATATAGTTAATGCAACAACAACAACAAACACACAGTAGCCCATTAATCTTGTGGTTAATCTAGAGCAGTTTTCAGAAGTGTGATGAAGTAACTATTTTCATTCACAGCATTGCAGGGCCAAAAGAGATTACAGCAGATTAATAAATAATTGCATGCCTGGCTGAATGTGGCAAATAAAAATTGCTTGTGGAGAGATACTAGAAGATTCCATTTGTTAGTTCTCTTCCACTGTGCCACAAATTCTGCAATAATGCTGGTGACTTTTGTAACAGATTAGGCAACATGACTGGACAACTAAAATATTAGAGGTTAGCTGTAATCTTCAATGTGGGTAGGAAACTGGCATCCAAGACTCACAAATATGTGGGGAAAACCTGTTCTGTGTCTTAACTATAGAGTTTACCTATAGATAATGGCTGAAATACTGTTGCATAGCTCCATGTGCTCAGTAGTGATAATGTCATCAGTGGCAAATGGTTGCTGATGACCACTGATACAGATCATTTTGAGGTGCCCATACACAATGTGATGAAATTATATGCACTCCGAAGTCAACAAAGAAAGCCTTTAGTCAACAGTGCTCTACCATTGCTTTTATCATCATAATTGCAAAATGGAGTTGTGCAAAAGGATTTCAGGCAATATGTGAAAAGGGTCCTAAGGAGAGTGCATTTGTCTTGTACCATCATGTTATTTACAGCACTGTACCCTCCACAGTAGAACCTGCAACTGAGGATCCGTGTTGCACCTCCTGACTTACATCCAACTTCTGGTAGTCCTGTTTCTCAATTTGCATCTAATTTCTGATAGTCTTATTTCAGGCAGCCTGTTGTAAGTCTCATGGAAATTAATTAAACCTAAGCCTACCTAATTGAGAGCACTGCCCTTCACAGTTTTCTACATTGTCAGGCTCATCTTGCTATTTTTACATTTTTTTTATTAATTTAGTCTTACATACAATAATTTTTTACACAATTTAAATGCTTGTACCAAACATATATGCTTCGGATAGCTGTTCATCTAAAATATTTCAAGTCTGCAGAGAAAGCAAATAAGATTTAACAATTCTTAAGAGTTAAATTTGTCTAATTGTTTAGTGCCATAATCCATGATCAAGGTTAGATAACAGTTCTGTTATCCTCCCCCCATTGATACAAAGCTCTGAATAAATAGGGTGTACAGGTTGAAAATGAGTTACCGTACCTCAGTCCCAGTATATAATCAGTCATAGGCATAGTCAATCACAGTGTCATCTTTTAAGTCATTGGTTCCCAACCTTGATTAACCCAGGTATTCCTGGACTGCAGTTCCAAGAAGCCTTCACCCCGGCTGTGCTACCAAGGATTACTGGAAGCTGTAGTCCAAGAACATATGGGTTACTCAAGGTTGGGGACTACTGCTCTAAGTGATTTTGCTTGGGCACTACATTGCTGAAGCAATAAACCTTCCAGGTCCCCACCCCACCCCATGGCATTAGTTTTTAATGATTCTGATAGGGATCTTGATGGTAGGTACTCTCAAATTGCGTGTCATAGAACCTGGTCCTTTCGGTGCTATCCTTTCTGTGTCCCTAAGGCAGGAGAGGGATTGTTTAATCAAAGTAAGGCATAAATACTATGACCATAATTTATCTGATGAAAGAGAATCAGGCTTGGGCCCATTTCTGCATCTTGATGGCCTCTGGTCTCACACACTAGTTTTCTCATTGGTTCCTGGCTTTTCCCACAGAGAGATAAAAGAAACATGGTCTGAAATTCTGGCACTAAATTCAGAGCGACTCTTGTCCATATAACTCACTACAAAGACAGCATCATGTGTAGCTCAATGTGTGTAACCTTTGATGAAAGTCTGATACACCACAGAGATGGAATCAATTAGTGGAGTAAAAATAATTGTACCATTAATTTAATCAAATTAAAGTAGCAGACTACTGAAGAATGGTCTGGTGCCTCAATCACTGTTCTTAAGTTGAAGAGTGATTCACAGGGAATTCCCTCAGGCAAATAAATTAGCTTTTTGTGGCATTTAAAAATAATTTAATAGAACAAAATGTGTCTCGTGTGTGTGCGCGTGCGTGCGTGCGTGTGCATATGTGTGCATGCATGCGTGTGCATGTGTGTGTGTATCTAATGACAGTTGCTATTCAAGTGGCAGCCAGTTGAATTTAATTGGCACAAGCTATTTAAATTCCATTTGTTTATGGCAGAAGCAGTGTGCTTTCTTTTCTCATAGAAATTGGTTGGCTTCAGTTTCCTGTCTGGGTTACAAATTCCATTCTCACTTGCCTGTTCTGCTTCCAGCTACCTGCAGCCATTCTGTGGATCATAACCTGACCTTAGCCAGGTATGTTTTATGCCTGGAAGGGCTGTAGTTTTTGGAATGGATTACGTATGGCACCAAACCTCCAATGCTGTTCACCAGTGTTGTAATTTACGTTGCTACGACCTTTCTTTGTACTTTAATCTTCCCTTGCAGTGTGACACTTAGTAGTCTGGTAGTCTCACTTACAGTAAGCATCTACTGTCTTTCGCATTTGGAAAGATTTGGTATCTAGCAGCACATCACTCTGGAGGAATATTAATGTGATTTCTACAGGCCCTGCAGTGCAGATCAGGATAATTCAGAAGTCACTTTAAGACAACGTCGGCATCTGCCAGACTTTAAACTATGGAAGAAATGTTCCCAAGAAATATTTCTTTCTTGGCCCTGGGTAGTATATATTTCTTACAAATAAAACAACATTCTCT